AGTGGCTGTCCAAAGCACAAGAACACCCGATGCTGATTGGCATTGCTGTAGGGAGCAGAGGCAGCAGGGACTGAGCAGCATGGAAAATTAACCCCATTCCTTTCAGGAGATGCTCCATCCCCACCGTTTAGTGCAGGGCACCATTAGCACAGCTGCAGTGGGACCTAAAACCTCCTCCTATGGCTTCAGCAGGTATGGATTGTACTCTTCTGTGGAGGAAGCTCACTCTGCCCTGCTGATCCTCTGTCTGCTCTCTTCTGGTTTGTTTTTCCTCTCTCCTGGCTTCAGGGATGCCAGGCTTTGGTCTTATATTGGTTTTTCATTTGCTCTATGTAGTGCACACTTCCAGCTACTGCTGGCTTGGCGTGCCAGCCAGGACCACAACAGCATTCAGCTGCATTGCCTTCATTCAGCATTTTAGTTGGTGCCTAGTCAAACAGGTAGGGCCAGAGTGTGCCCTAATTTGCAGTCTGAATATAAGTGGAAATAAACTACAGGGCTTCTCACCGTAACTGTCTTACAAATGCAGGAAAACCACTGCCTCCCAGAGCGGGAGAGCAGGATCTGTCTGTGCAGACTTGGGGCTTATACCTTACCTAGACATCCACTGCAAGGACTCAGTATATTGGGTTAGGCAGATACTGGGTTTGATCAGTATGGCTGTTCCTGGGGTTATACAAGTTATATATAACCCTACATATATTTAAGGTCATATAGCATATATAAATCTGCAGGGGATAATTCACCAAGACAGCAGCAGTATGAAGACTTGTTACCTCCAAAGATCTGGCATTGCAGCAAGACTGCAGTTCGTGCTCGGGCTCCTTATCACGACTTCAGTAGCAGGAAATCTTGTTAGATAAAAGCAATGACTTTCCTCTTCACCTAGAACTAAACTCCCAGAGCTATTTGGAGAACATGTTTCACAGACCTCGTTTCTGACAAGAAACGTCACATCTAAGTCAGATCCAAGAAGCTAGAAGAGTGCTGTCCTTCTCCTGGGGCTGATTTTGGGGAGGAGCTGCTGGAAATGAGAAGTGTCTAACTGGTTGTAGCATTAGTTTAAGAGGGTCAGTACTGCTTGCCTGATCTGCTCTGACATCCTGGCAGGTAGTTCAGCCTCTGCACTCAAATGAGTGAGTGCACATGCCCTGTTCTTGGGGTTGTTGTGGAAATTAGCTTATGAGGCATTTGAGTACCTCTGAATGGTACTCATGGAGCCTATAAATACCCAAGAATATTAAATTATAGTAATACTTCCGAGGGTGTTTTCAGTATAAGGGTCTCCCAGGGCTGTCTTCATTTGCAGTCTTAAATTAATCTTAAAAATACAGTGTGCAACAGGGAGACATTTTACTTCCCTTATTATTTCACTGATGTGCAAACAGAGGCAGGGGATCGCTAAGAACTTAAGGTTAAGTGTCTTACCCAAAGCCCCACAGCAAGTCAGTAACAGAGCTAAGAGTGAAGCTCAGTGTGGTGAGCATTAAGCCATCAAGTCAGCATTAGTCCTTGTTAAAATGATTTCTGCTTCCTGAGGGTGTGAAATAACACTGGAAATCCCGTCATGGCAAGTGTTCCTTGTAGTCCCATGTCATGTTAGTTCCAGTGGGAACAGATCACACCCTGCTATGTGGACGTCAATCAGCACTGTAATGATGTGCCCATCGCCTGAACTGTATGACTAGGGCTGAGAGTCTCTTCTGGCCTTGAGAAGGTGCAGAGGTCAATGCTCAGGTGATCCTGAGCTGGGGCCTCACCACCTTCTTGAACAAAAGTCTTCGTGCAGCTAGAGAGCCTTGGCACAATGTGCCAACAGCTTTCTGTGTTCTGGGAAATCAAAACTGCAGGTCAGTGGCTCTGCGAGGCCAGGCTCATTGAAGCTCAGCAGCACAGAGCTTGCGAGATTTGGGTAATGGGCTGAGCCCTAGGCTCCTTCCATCCGTAACTGAGAAGCTCACATGAGGGTCAGCGAGCAAGAAGCCAATTTCCAGGTTGGAGAAGAAATAGCAGTCATCTTTGTGTGCCATGTTACAGACAGCGAGCTTCTTCCTGGTGTCAGTTCCCTCCTTGTTAGCATGTCTTGTTACCTGAAGCGAATTCAATGACCAATACATAAAACAGAGCTCAGAGCATAAGCTGAGTTCAGAAGAGACAGGAGGAAATTTTCCATGTGGACAGATTATTCCACAGTGGCTTAATGAAGTTTCCTTATGTTTTTTTCTGAAGTGCTTGGAGATGACCCCAGTCAGAAATAAGATGGAAGACTAAAGAGGGTTGTTCTGATGTGGCAGTTGCTATTTTAGGGTGATCCTAAGGCTCTACTAGTCAGAAAGAGGACTGAAAAATTCTTGTGGCCACCCAAGATACCCCCATATGGAAGGTTCTTCTTCCAGATAGTGCTAGGGATATAACTGAAGGGCCATCCCCAGCAGCTTTGATCAATGTTCTTGATCCTCTTGTTCATGTTAAGCACCTGCCAGAGGCTGTCAGGAGAATGGACTGGAGACAGATGGTGAGCTGCGAACTGCGGGGTTTGTATTGCAGAGGCAAGGCAGCCACTAGGACTGAGTGAGCCCAACCCTGCAAGCAGCCGCCGTGCTTGTTTCATTGCTCAGTGCTGCTAACCCCCTTGCCCTGAAGATTTTCTGCCTTTGTTGGTTCTGTGGGCATAACTATACCTGAGCTCACTGCTCAACGAAGAGAAAGTTCTGGATTTCTCTCACCTGAACTTTCTGGGCATCTTGTTGTCTCAAATCCTTCCATAACCAATGAAGAAAGGATGACATCTTAGGAAGTCAACTCATTCCCTCCTAAGATAGGAGGAGGTCTAGATGATCATTGGAGGTCCCTTCCAACTGAAATCTACTCTGTTCTATTCTAATCTATTCTATAGGTTTACGCAGGATGCACATTTACTTTCCCCTGGAGGTGCCTAGATTGTTGACATTTGGTGGTGTACGATGGGTGACTCCTTGCCCTAAGTGTGGCCAGTTACTAAGCTGGGGCTGGCTGTTGTTTCTTACTGGAGTAATGTTAATGCTTTGACAAAGTCCCTCACAGTAGGGGCATTGCATGTGGCTTGTTAGTCTGGATCATAACCTGAACAAGTTTTCCTACCAGTATTTGCTTGCAGCTTCTCATGACGGGCCATTTAAGCCATGTCCTCACTGTGTCTTGGTCCAAAGCTCATTGCAGATTTGGAGAGGCCCCTCCTGGATTCCTTTAGATGCTAGAGATGGTCTTTAGCCTTTGGGCTTTGCAGGTTGTTATGTTGGCATTTCTGAAGGTTTCTTATTGTATGTGGTAACACAGTGACTCCATACATAGTTTGATTAAGAGGGAAAATTGTGCATGGCAAAGCAGAGAAAATAGTAAACAACAAGAAGCGATGCCAGAAGTGTACCCACTTAAGAATGTAAAAAGTGCAGCAGTGAATACTGTGCCAGATTGCTTCTGTTCTTGTCAAATAATGCCAGTTTGCTGTGGAGGCCTGTTTCCTGCCACAGCAAAAGGACTTTTTCATTATGTAAGCTTTAAAGCAGCACTAGATCATTACTAACTCCTGTGTCCGTGTCCAGTCCAAGATTCATGCTGCAAGAAGCCTGAGTGAGATTGCAATTGACCTGACTGAAACTGGAACGCTCAAGACCTCAAAGCTGGCCAACATGGGGAGTAAAGGCAAAATTATCAGTGGCAGCAGCGGGAGTCTTCTGTCGTCAGGTAGGTCCTTTGTCTTGTAACTGGAGGGAATATGGTGGGAAGGTCCATGGCTGTGGTATAAAGGGGAGCAGCCAGAAGCTGCACTGCAGAAATGAAAGTCACTTCCCTTTAGCTTTTCTGTCTGTCCAGGTGTCAGTCCATCTCTCAGCACGTTGCTGCACAAACAGCACAGGCAGCAGCCTCCCCCTCTGTCATTACCACCACTTGTTTCCTCTTTGGCCCCAGGATGTCATCTCCAACCTCTCACTTTCCAGCTAAGACCTGGCCTCTCTTCACAGTTTCTACAGTAATCACCCCTTAGCACCCAGCTCATGCCTAGGCAGATGGGTTTGTGAAGGGGCCCCCAACCAGCCATGAGGAAGCAGTCAGGCAGTGCAGCTCACTAGGGAAACTGAGGCTGGGAACTGGTGATCTCCCTCAGCAGTGTTGAGGCAGGGTGACTTCTTCAGAGACTGCACATCTGCTTTGCCTCTCTGTTGCTGGAATTTGGCTAGTGTCCCAGGCTCAAAAGAGCTATTCCCTAGCACTCTTTACCAAACTAGTGCTGGGGACCTAGAAGTTTCTTTTGGTGGCTTAGAACACCTTCCTGTATGAGGAAGACATAATCTGTGAAAGAAACGCAAGAGAAGTTGATACAGAGGAGAGCTAGAGCATGAGAAGAGAAGGACCAGAGAAGGGGAGTCAGGAAGCTGTCTGCATTTCTTTGATACTGTTCTGTCAGTCTGAACCAGGCAAGCTGTGTGTAAAATGGTGCTAAATGTCACTCCAGGAGCAAAGCAAGGATTGATAGTTTGCAGAGAGCTCGAAGCTGCTCAGGTGAGAAGCTCTTCAGGAGGGCAAGGTTGCTGGTAGCACTATAATTAACAGTTCCAGTCAATTAAATGCCTTCTGTTAAGCATCACATCAAGTTATCAAAACCGATTATGTTGAGATGTATAACACCAGAGAATAACCTTCTCATACTTGACAAGGAAAGAGTCCATCTAAGAATACAAATGCTTTAAAACCGAACCCACACTGGTGTAGTAGATCACCTTTGCATCATGGTATCCTTCATGTCTCTTAAAAGCCACACTTTCCTGCTTGGAAAATGTCTAGCAAGAGGTTAAAATGTGCAATGCTTCCAGAGCTCCAGAGCAGCCTGCTGTGCAATTCCTTGCCTTGTCTGCAAACAGAGATGCCTTTCTGCTCCTTAGGTCTTCTGACAAAGTATACAATCCACCGTCTGTGCCTCCCATCGCTCAGGGAGTTGCAGTAGCTGAACAGCTCCCAGACTGGTGTCGGATTGTTGGAGCTCTTTATTTGTTTGGCATTTTTTCCAGCTCTCCTGCGGGAAAGTAAATAATGTTAAGTACCCCAAGGAAGTTCTTAAGGTCTTTGCAAGATCTCAGCCTTCTGGGCACCATTCCCGAGTTTGTGAGAGCTACTTGGTAGTAATCCTGTTTTCATGTTAATACACTGACTTTTCGCCTTCCTGGAAAAAAACATGCAGGGCTGCTTCTGCTCTGACACTGGGAGAGAACAGCAGCCAGGTGAAAGCCAGCAGAAAATCAGGCCCAGAAAAGCTTCTGTAGGGCCAGCACCTATCAGGGTTATGTGGATGGAAATTCCAAACTGGGAGCTGCCGATGCTTTTATTTCTGTGTGTTTTTTGCTTCTCTGTGGCTGAGCAGGGGGTTTGTAGACTCAGCAGAATTGCACTAGTGACTAGACCAGGTGAGTCATTTCTTCAGTCCTGGGTAAGTGGATCTGTCTACCTGGATGCCTGTATAGGTCTACGTGAACCTCTGTTTCGGTCCAGGTGCTGCTGGTGGGCCAGGCGAGCATGGCTCCCTCCAGGTTCCTGTGTTCAGAGCTGCCTTTTGTGTCCTCCCAGCTGTGAGAACAGGGCTTTCCCCAAAATGTTAAGGAGAGCTGTGGGGTTTACTGCTGCTGCGTGCCTTCCAGCAGCTACAAGCAGCTACAAGGAGGTCTAGAGAGAAGATGCCTGGCAGAGGAGAACAGATACCAGGGAACTGGAGATTTTTGGATTGTTTCCACACAGTCACCCAGACCCCTCTGCTCCAAGAGCCCCTTCACTTGAGCCCAGCTGGCAGAGGTGACCCAGCCCTGTCCCGCTGGACGGGAGGGAGCATTCCCTGCCTATCCCACAGGGCACAGTCACCGGCTCCGACCCAGCCTTCACATTTCCTCCCATTGTGCCAAAGATTGTCGGCACACAGTCACAACAATGATGGGTTATCGCGGTACAGCCGGCACGCTGGAGAGAATAAGTGCAAATGATTAAGTGGCCACAGTAGATTTTGAGGCTATAAATACCCTGAGTGACTTGAAATCATAAGGGCAGGCCAGAATCTCTGTTTGCCCCCACTTCCCTACTGTTCTCAGTCCTTTTTTCCTGGAAATTACTTGTAGTCATTTCCTCTCTGCATCTCGCTCCTCCTTACTGAAGGGACTGTCAGTGCCACGAGGAGCATGCCGAAGCTGGTATGTCTCCCCTGGGTTTACAGCAAGGCTGCAAGGCAAAATTTGTTGTTGCTTCCAGCTGTCACAGTGTCTGGCGAAGATCCTGCTGTGCAGTGTGAGGCAGTCACTGCCCCACATCACTTACGGTCTTGAGATGCAGCAGAGAGGGGATGGAGTCTTACACTGGGACAGTGACTTCCTCATGGTCACAGCAATTCAGGGCCAAAGCCTAAGCTCTTCCATGTTTCCAAGGCCCTCGATCTCGGTCTGTGTCCACTGCAGAGTTGTAATTTTGATACCTGATGCTCCCAAGTCCATTTCTGACAAGCTGACTCTTTTAACTTTTGTCCCCATTTTGGCTCTGAAGGGGCTCCCCCGAACAGTGGGCTGCTGCAGTTTAGCTCAGGGATGTTCTGCTCAGGATCTGTGGGCCATCCCTGGACATCTGGGGCAAGATTTGCCCATGAATAAAAGCTCTGCTTTGACACTGACAGGAACCCTACTCAAAGCCAGCAGAGATAATTATCGGAACGAAATCAAGTTAAGGCTAAGGTGGATTTTTCCTTCAGAGCAATCTGTGCCATAAGAGCCCTACAGAGCTCCTAGCTAGTGAGGAGCCCTGTTACCACTGTATTGTGGTTGGACTAAACCCCAGACCGCCGCCTTCATCTCACTGAGCAGAGGAGACACCATAGAGCAGCACCTCTGCTTTAGCCCTGCAGACATGTTCGAGGAGCCTCCAGCCCCCTGAGCCCCATTCCTTCATCAGCAGTGGAGGTTTCCTGTGCAGGGGCCTGTTTACATTTGAAAATGCCACGACAGAGCCCAGCCAGCTGGTTCCTCGGCCCCCACTGCTCCATCCGGCAGGGCCGTATCCCAGCTGGACTGCCCCAGCGGGTGTCGGAGCAGATAAACAGCACCCGTGCAGCCTCCGGCACGGCCCACGAGCACAGGGGCTCACGAAGACGAGTCACCCACAGGATATCTGAGTGCATCCTGTGCGGAGCGGCTCCAGCTGGGCTCCCGCGCGCCGTGGAGGATATCCGATTTGTCGGGCAGAGACAAGAGCTAGAGGCTGTTTGAGGTTGCTGGCTGTTGTGCGCTGACATCCTGGCACGGTGAGTCAGCCCAGGCTCTGGAATGGAGCAAGCGTGGGGGGACATTCCCTCCCTGCTCAGGGGACCTCAACCAAACACCAGCAAGCTGGAGCCAGCAGCCGGATGTAGCATGAAGGGTTTGCCATATTTAGATGTGTTTTTCCTGGAGCAGGAGATTCACGAAATGAGAAAGAGAAGAGATGCCTGGATGCTTTTTCCTTGCTGCTGCTCAGCCACCTTGCTGCATCTTCTTTCCCCTCACAGTTGCTGTCACCAAGCCTTGGCTCCCTCTGCTCTTCAGCATCCCACCTATCCTCCCTGCTTGTTTTCATCCTTCTCATTTGTCCCTTTTCCAAGCTGACTCCACTCTGCTGCAATAGCTAGAAGAAATAGGGACAAACAGTCACTGGTAGGGCTTTCCTCTCCAAAACAGTAGCTCATACTGCTGGTCTCATTCCTTTGATGAGCTTTAAAGCAAAGCTTGTCTTGGAGTCAGCACCTGGTAGCCAGGAGGCCCTGCAGATCTGCTCAGGGACAGCACATCACCTTGGTCAGGTCCTTTGAGGGTGTGACTCGCTTCGTATCCCTGTCAACATCACCATGACTGTCCTGACCTCACCAGTATTGAAGTGATCAGAAACCAGCTTGTTAGCACTGGTGAAGAAGCTTGACCATGAATTCTGCTGGAGGAGTGAGTTGGATAGGAAGGACCATGTTCTCCCCTGTTTCACAGCTCATGTTCTTCTGAATGTCAGGGGATGGAGAAATTGCCTAGAGAGGCCAAGTGGGATCAGAAGATGAGTAGTGGATCCACAAACTAATAGAGTATTAAGCGAATGCTCAGGTCACCAAGACCTGTGTCCCGTCTTGTATGCTAAGGAGAAAAGGGCACGTACAATTTCCTTGGCTTTGAAATTAAACCAGCAGTAACAGCTATAAAAACAGCCTCCAATTCAGCAGGTTCCTGGTGCCCACCAAAGAGAAGGCCCTGTGCTTGCTACCCGATGAGTTTTCACAACCTTTTTTCTTTTAGAGACATCAAATGGTTCTGCAGAAGTGCGTGTTAAAATGCAGAGTTTGGCAAATCTTTGCACAGCAAATAGGAAAGAGGCTGAATAATAGTTTTCAGAAAGGTTCAAAAGCCATGCAGGGAAATTACATATTTCAGCGACATTTCTCCTGTTTACTGTGTTAGGAATTAGCCCTAATTGTCGGAGATAAAATACCTGAGAAAGCCTCCCAGTCAACCATTTCTGTTGCAGCAGGAGTCTCTCGTGTTAGGACTGATCTTTCAGGACTGATTTTTCTCTGTTGATGATCCCCTTTGGAAGGCACTGGGCAGCCGTGACTCAGTGAGCATCATCTATAATAAGGCTGATTTAAGGTAGTATCTGCTCGATTGGTTTGGTTTGTGCTGGTTTTTGATTATTTCTTTGGTTGTTTTTATGGTCTTTTGATTTGTTCTGACATTTTTGGGTCAGTTGCCACTGGGTTTAGAGGTGGGTCTGCGGTCACAGCCTTGCTTGAGGCTAGATTAATACATATTTATAAATAAAGAGGCTGTAATGGAAGCTGTAGGCACCCCAGCAATACAAAGCACTGTTCTCATTTACAAGCATCTCACACGGGTGTGATTATCTTGACTGATCAAGTTTCCATTTGCTTTTCACCTGTGAGAACAAGCAGAGAATCCAACCCATAAAAATCTAATAATACACCCCAAAATAGTTCAGCTTTTAAATAAAATTTAAAAAAAAAACACAAACAGCTGGAACAGAACAGTTTATGAAGGAGAAACTTCAGGAAGGTCTGAAGAAATAAGTCCTGCAGTATAGCCAGGGATCATCCAGGTCAGGTATGGTCAAGCTAAAAAAATTCAGCATCACAAGCCACGAACTGAGTGCCCTGTCCCCTGACATTTGAAGCCTCACTATGCCAGCAGAGTTTGTGATACAAAGACACACTTGGAAAAGGTTAATTTGAACTGGTTCATTAGTGCCAAGGAGCGGCTGACTTTGGTTTCAGCAGTAATCCCATTGCTTAACTTGGAATGTGACAATGCGCTTCCAGATCTCCTCCAGTTCCTTTGGATTCAGGCAGGGGTGAAAAAGATGGCAAAATGTACACTCAGTGGACACTGCCACCAACCGCATCAGGGTTGAGACCAGCGTGGTTCTCACACAGGGAAAGCACAGCTGGAGCAGATGCCGTGAACTGTCTGTGCTTGATTTGGGTCCGTACCAGCTCAGACAGAAGCCATTCGTTTCCTTCTTGTCGGCACACCCCGAATCAGCGCAGGCGTCTGGCCAGGGTTTGGCTATTCATATGCTTTTAAATGTTTCAGCATCTATGTAGCTGTCATGGCAACCCGCAGTGCAAAAACGAAGAGCTTTTAAAAATAAATCCGAGGCTGATGTGAAGGTAAGGAGCAGAGAGAGGAAGGAAATTTTTTTTAAAGGAAAACGTAGGTCATTAAAGTTGTCATAAAAGAAGAAAAAAAAAGGTTAAAACATCTGCTGGAATCATGAGCAACTTTTTACCAGGAGTCAGCAGTTTGTTGGCAATTCAGTGAAGAAATTAAGCAGTTCAGCTTTTGCTAGTAACTACTCACCAGGGTTACTACTAAGAATTACTAAATGTTAGAGAGGGCTTCCCCTGCCAGTGCAAATACAGTGTTCTTCTAGAAGATCCCGTCAAGTTCTTGCAGCACAGATGTGTTTGCAGAATTGAGTTTTGTTGCTCTGTGAGGGCAAACCCAAATGAAATGAGGATGACTACAGCAACTAAACAGACATCTTACTCTGAGGTTGTCCTCCTTTGTCTGATGACGCTCAACCTGGCTGACTTTGAGAGCGCCCTTTTTCCACCCCCCGCACTCCAAGACAGCCCAATAAAAGGTGTAACAAAGCGGGGTGGCATTTCACAGAATAGAATAAGTGCCAGCTGCTTCCTGTGTGAAAACTGCAGAAAATATTGGTGGAAAAGATCTGTGAGATTCTCTATTCCCCCTGGGTCAATGCAGAACTGTTTCATGGCATTGTTTGCCTCAATCCTCTTTCAGTTTAGCTTTAACGGTCTGCTGGAATAGTAGCAATGAAAGATGAAGCTGAAAGCACAAATTTCACTCTGTTTTGCTGCCAAAACAAAGAGTTGTTCCCAGGTTCCTTCCAGAGCTCTGTGAAATGGCAGCAATGTTTTCAACCTCATTGGGCTGAGTGTTTTCACCGTACGCTTGGAGGCCAAGCTGCAAATGTATCTAGAAGCCCCCTCTCACCCCCATCCTACAGGTGTACAGAAAATTCCATGTAGCATCCTGTTGTATCTCACTCCTGCATGTGATAAAGGTCTGCTTTCACTGTGCCATTGCTCCAGAGGGGCAGGGGAGCCCCTCTGAGTGGGACAGCGGGTGCCGAGACCACTGAGGAACCACTGAGGACTAGGAGGAACCCCTTTGGAAGCATTGCCAAGTCAAAGGCTTTTCAGCAGGCATAGACCTACAGTATCCCCCAAGAAGTCCCTACAAAGCACTGGGCACAATCCAGCTGTCTAAACGTAGGTGTCTGGTGCCATTTTAGATGGGTTACAGTATCCTACTGCCAGTCCAAAAGAGTGTGGGTCTCACAGGGTCCTGTATCATATCTGTCATCCCATGGAAGACATCTCAGATACCTTAGATCACCTAGACACTTCTGTTGAGGCAACAGCAACCCCCTAGCCACAGCAGCCCTCTCTGTTCAGCCCAGCTCAAGACCCACTATGGAGTTTATTAAAAAGGGATCAGATGCAGGCTTAGGCTGAGCTCCAGAGCTGTGCGTGGGGCAGAGCTTTAGAGTGTGTGGAGCTGTAGCTCTCAGGGTCATCTGTGGACAGACATGGGACATTACCACTGAATCCACCACAGGTACCAGAACTCACCTTTCCATAAACCTAAGGTAGATGCTTTGAACTACAGCTGTAGCTGAACAACAGCCAGTAATATGAGTGCAAAGCATGTAGAGATGGGGTTTACCCCTTCTTGAGGTTGCTTTTCATCTCACAGCATGGCCGTAACCTTCATGTCCTTAGTCTGTGATGAAAGGATGCACTCGGCTTCTGCAAATAAGGTGATGGGAGTGAGGTAGTGACTTCACTATAAACTCATCCCTGAGCCCAGGGGTATATTAAAGAGGGTGAATGCTAAGCACATCCTGAAAAATCAGCTGCTCAAAAATGGATGTAACCAACATTGCCCCTTCTTTGAGATCCTAGATCTTGGGTAGCAACTGATGCACCATCCCAAACCACAATAAAATCAGGAACCCCATCAATAAGTTCCCCTAAATAGCTGAGGTTACAAATGCTGTCATGACGTCTGAGCAACAGTCTGACTTAATGCATGGACTTACTTCAGTGGAAGTTGCTTGGGTAATTGCCACTTGAAAAGTCAAGCCACTTGGAGATCCAGTTTAAATATCTTGACCTATGTCTTCACATGAAACAGCTACTATCCCAGAAGGACTTATGGGTTATTGTTGTTTCAGTGTGTTTTACAGGAATCTTGCTAGGTAATTTTGTTCCATTACGTCTTTTCATAGAACAGGCACTGTAAGTGGATTGAATTAAATGTTTGCTACTAGGATAATTGCAGTTCTTAAGAAGTATGCTGCATTGTCAAAGGGTTTCTCCTAGGCTTAATTCTCAAAAATACATCTCCAGGGCTTTGTAAACTGTACTGTTATTGGCCATTGGAAACTTTCATGGGAATCATATGTCTTTTTTTTCTAGGATCTTTACATGAATAATTTTGTTGCTTTTATTTTTCTGGATAATGATTACAAATCTCTTTGTGTGCCCCACTGTCCAATCTCTGTCTGTTAGCTTAAACATTAAGAATTTGCTGTAAACAAACATAACGGGGTAACACCTGCTTCATGTCATAGTCTGATTTCTTTTTGGAAGGACTGCATCCAGGCTTTGGTAAAATTACAAGTGCTCCAGATGTGTATTCTGCTGTCAGCTGGCCTAGTGAAATCATTGTTTATTGACAGGTTCCCAGGAGTCAGATAGTTCTCAGTCCGCCAAGAAAGACATGCTGGCTGCACTGAAATCCAGGCAAGAAGCTTTGGAAGAGACACTGCGCCAGCGTTTGGAAGAGCTAAAGAAACTGTGTCTCCGAGAAGCGGTAGGCAATGGACATATTATAACCTGTAATGCTTTGTTGCTTGCATTGTTGTAGCATGCTCATCGTTTGGAGGTGGTGTGGAGTCAGGACAAGAGATTTCTTCCATAATCACCTCTTACAAAGCCTGTTGTACAAAGGCCTCAGGAAGGTCCAGCTGCTTCAGCTGCAGATTGCAATGTCACAGGACATTTCCCCTCCAGAGAAGGGGACCCTATGTCTGCTGGGTACCCAGTTGGCCTGGGGCTAGAAGGGTGCTCAGCATCCATGTCTGCTGTTTGAAATTGAGTTTAAGATGCATTCAGCCAGACTTCTGAATTACTTTGGTGGGAATATGCAGCAACTGAAATGGCTGTCCTGTGTACTGGTAATCACTTCACAAATGCTTTTGACTTAGAATTATAGAATCATTATGGTTGCAAGAGACCTCAAAACTCATCAAGTCCAACCGTACACCTGATGCCACCATGCCCACTAAACCATGTCTCAAAGCACCACATCTAAACATTTTTTGAACACCTCCAGGGATGGTGAGTCCACCACCTCCCTGGGGAGCCCGTTCCAATGCCTAGCGACTCTTACAGTGAAGAAGTTCTTCCTAATATCCAACCTGAACCTCCCCTGGCACAACTTGAGAACGTTTCCTCTTGTCCTATCGCTAGTTACCGGGGAGAAGAGACCAACGCCCGCCTCGCTACAACCTCCTTTCAGGTAGTTGTAGAGGGCAATAAGGTCTCCCGTCAGCAGCAGCAGCACCGCATGTGGGGGAAGATGTGCCTGTACCACAGTTGCAGGAGCTCACAGCCCAGTGCCTTTGCTTTGACCCCAGCCCCATCTGCGGTGCACTCTCAGGCACTTCGCAAGCAACCGGGATGCAGGCAAAAGCTCCCGCTGGGGCACGGAGCTGGTGGTAAGGAGCAATATTTCCTTAATGTGCTGCAGAAAGGCTGGCCAGAGCCCATCTGTCAGCACCTTAAGAGCTGGTAGAAAGTGTTTGTGCTTTCTGTAGATGATCTGAGAGAGGCAGTTGATGGACACTTGGAATCTGACCCCATCTTGCAACCCTACAGCTCATCCATCAGCAGCCTGTAGTTGGAAGTATTTCCTCTCAGGCTACCCTTCGTCCTTTCTGCTTTGGCATGGAAATAGCAAAAACAGAGGGAGAAGGTGGCAAACTAGGAGATAAAAAAGGGTTAAAAGTGGGGGCATAATCAAATAAGCATGGTGGGAGCCATTCGTAACAGTGGCATCAGGTTACTTGGGGCCATCACTACTCCATTTACTTATTAATTTAGATTACATTTCAGGACCGTGCCTGTGAATACTTTTCAGCTTATGGAGGCAGCATGGTAGCCCACATTAATTTCGTTCTGCTCCAATCTTGGGCATTTTACAGAAGATATTAACTCTGTTGCTTTTAGGGGTTATAAGAAGTTATATATTTAGGGGTTATATTAAGTTAGGGGTTATAAAGAAAATATCCTTGTTTCCCTTGGGAAAGGATACAGGAATCTGTGTCTTGATGCGGTGCTTAGAGCCACATCTCACTAGAAGGCACATTTCAGAAGAAAAGCTGAAATAACCCCACAGGGCTGGAGGGGCAACGCAGAATGGGACTCTGACACATTGCAACAGTGCCTCTCGCAAAAGGGGGTTGTGTATGTCGGCACAGAGCTGTGCTGCAAACCCATTTTGCTGGGAATTGCTTAAAGGAAAGATTTGAAAAGGCCAGGTCCTTGTTTCCTAGTAATCTGAAAAGAGTAGAAAGAAAAACCCCATTAGGGAGCGGGGGAGAGGCCAGGGCAGGCAGGGGCCTGAGCTGCACAGTCGCATTAAGGTCAGCTGCTGTTCTTTGGGATTCAGATGATTTAGGTTACTCTGCCAGCTGGATCCTCTCAAGGCTGATGCTAAAGAAGACAAAAGCCTTTTGTCCTTCATGGGGAGACTTTTGAGTACAAGGAGTCGGGTTGTGCTCGTAGTGAGGCTCCTGCCTTTTTCTGTAGGCATTTCAATGCCTTCAGTTCAGATATGTGTGGCTGTATTGTGTAGTCCAGGGGAAAAAAACCTTAGCATTAACATCAGTAGTGGTACTTGCTGCTTCCCGTGTTCCAGATATTCCTCAGTTCTGGGATTTGCTTCAGATTTTGAACAAATCTTTGCAAATAACCCCATCAGTCTGACAATGCATCATCTAATATTGCCTCAAAGCTGCCCATGACATCACTGGGGTTTGGAAGGGGCTCTGATACATGAAGTGTTATCAGACAGGTAATGAGGTACCAGGCACTGCTTTTAGTGACCATTTTCACTGCATTCCTCTCAGACACATCATGAATCAGGTGGGAATGTTTTTCTGTGCAGGTCGTAACCTGCACAGCTGTTGCCAGTGGGGCTTTCTGACTCAGCAGACCTGCATCCTGCATGAAGGCTCTCGGATCTGCTCACCCTCTTCTCAAAAGCAGCTCAGCAGATAGAAGCTCTTCTTTCCTGCTCACGCTGCAGCAGAGATGAAAGCGTGTGTGCTGCAGTCTGTTCAGCCCCAGGCCCCAACGCCCTAGGGATGGGCACCACCTACAGACCTACCCTGGGCAGGCCACAAAAATCTGTATTCATGCACAGGTTAAAGAAAAGTTCCCCACCCTCAGTGTCAGGTTCTGGGATGAGTTTGCTGGGCTGGGTGCTCTGCTGTGTGTTTATCAGCTGGCTGAACTGGATATGTTGTTAATGAACACCTGTCATTTTGTGGTCATAGTTAAAGAGCGGTGGTGTGCTTTGCTCTGCTGCAGGATTTCCCAGATCACTAACAGCATTTTCTGCTTACAGGAGCTCACAGGAAAGCTGCCACGAGAATACCCCCTAGATCCTGGGGAGGAGCCGCCTATTGTAAGGAGAAGAATAGGAACTGCCTTTAAACTGGATGAGCAGAAAATCCTGCCTAAGGGAGAGGTGAGACTGTGCCCTTCCTTTCCAGCCCCAAGTACCCACCTCAGGTCTCTAAGGCATCCAGCATGTGTCAGATAGGAAACATCAGTCTTACAATCATTTTTGCTTTAAATGACTGTAGTTGGTCACAGTGCCTTTTTTGATATCCATCAGAACAAAGAAGCAGTGAGAGAGTTGGTGCCCTTAGTTCAGTCTCAGAGTAAAGGTAAAACCCTCAAAGTTCAGCCCTGGCTTTGCAAGAGGGAACAGAAATAGCCTGGGTGACCAACTGGACCATGACGGTCCAAGTGCTCTGGTGACCAAGTGCAGTGACTTGTGCGAGTAGAGAGCACATCAGGAGCCCCTTGAGCCATCTGAGCCCTGCTGCTGCCCTGTGTTGTTGTTGCAAACAGCCGCTTGTTTTCCGCTTCGGTAGCAATCCGAATTCAGATCTCCTGTAATGGGGAGAAAAGCATCAAAATTATCCATCTTAGCCCTGCAATAGCAAGATGAAAGCATTTTGCTCCCTGGTCCTTAAACAAAAGAGCCTTCGTCCCTACCTATGGGGAGCTGGAATTATGTTTTTCTAAGTTTGCCAGGGAGTGTTTGTTCTCTTCTCTTGCTCCCACAATGTGCTGGGTCAGTGCCCTGAACCGTGGCTGTGAAAACAGGCCTGCAGCAGCTGTAAGGCGGGACCGGATTCACAGAAAAGCTATTGTCTGCAGAGACGCATTTGTCTCAAGACACTTGTGTATATTCCACTCTTGAGTTTCCTTTTTATTTTTGTAAGAGGAGAGACTGAAGCTGGTGTGACTATGCGCTTTAAGGCTCGGTTCAGCCAGGGAATTAACTGTTTGTCATTTTGTTGGCATTTTCCTTCTGCTGAAAAAATAAACAGCTGGAGCTCCTTAGTTTTGTTCTCAATGGAGCCTGGGAGAGGAATTCCACCGAATATTCATGAACTAGCACATTTAATTAAGCTTTTCAAAGGGAAGCACAGCTTAGCTGAGTTACTCCTTTAACCCCTGCAGTCTGTTGGCTGCTCAATTATAATCTGATCTCCAGCTTCCCCAGATCTTACTGCTACAAGGAAGCTTTTGGGGGCAGTGGGTGAGGAATCTCCATACGCCGGTGGCAGGGTGAGGTGGGGAGAGCATGACGGTAAAGCAGCTCCTCCCCATTGCAGGCACGCTGCCTTTTGGCATCAGCAATCCAAACATGCTGACTCAGCTTTTATCTACCTCCCTTTTCATCTGTCAAACTTTTAGACTGTGTTGAAAACCATAAATTTCTGGTCTCAAAGAATGATGTTGAGCTGTGTTTATTTGCCTGCCAGTTTGAGAGCATTTAGCGAGGCCAGCGATCATTTTCATGTGCTTTTCAGCAAATGCAAACACTAGGAACTCAATTTAAATCAAAAGGTGAAATTCTCCCTCAGCCACGTAAATCCAGGACTGACATTACCAACTGTGACAAGGACCTGAAGCGAGGCACTTCCATCTGAAGGCCGATGATAGCCCTCATTTTCTGAGGCTTTATTTATAGGGGCCTCACTGGAAGAAAATAGACAATTATGGCCAGAAGAAAAATGAATATGTTTTTTCTAAGATACACTGAATCATTGAAAATTGAGTCTGTGAAGGTCTGAAATGACAGCTCACATCAAACTCTCCATACCTTTAGTAAAAGCTTTGTCAGAGCAAGACTTGCAGGGAAGGGTCCTATTACATTTTTTGGTAACCGCCTCTGCCTGGTCCGTAATTCCTGACTCTGGGCAGGATTTTGCCAGAAGGCAGTGAACCAGGTTCCAGGCCTTAAAACTCTGGGGTTTCAAATTCACTTTTAATAAATTTGGCACTGATAGAGCTTATAAACTCTTCAAAGCTAAAATGGATCTGTTAAAAACATGAGGGGGTGAGTTCAGTTTTCAGTAAAGTGAGAGAAACAATAACTATAGTTTTAAGGCAGTGCTGACTCACCACTAACAGCAAAGGGATTTTTTTAAAGCCAGAAGCCCAGAATAAAAACTTCAGAGAACGACTTAAGTCTGATTAATTGCCATAGCATCAGCTCTTGCAGCGTACGCCACTGCTAAATGAAGAGAAAGGATCTGAATTTGCGTAATGGGGATCTCTGTGAATACGTGGCTGTCAGTGCTTGCGATCTGAACTCCCCCCATTCACTAGCAGTAAAAAAGCTCATCTTTTTTTCCCTAATTTGCAATGTACTATGTTCCCCTTTCTAGCAGACCAACACTACAAACTCCATCGAGCTGGGGAAGGTAGCCAGATCCATTGCAGATTAGCAAGTACCCCACGGCTTGGGGTCCCGGTGCAGACCAGGAAGCTCTATATCAGCCTCTGCGTTGGCATAAATTGGCCTAAAGCCCTTGGCTTTGGAGGAGAACTAAAAATCAGTAGGTAGCTTCCAGGGTAGACCTGGTTGCATTTAAAAATTTTGCTGAGACCCTGTGAGGGCTGACGTTGGAGACAGTAGTCCTTTCTGGCATACAGAAAGCCTGCTGTTACACACTGCTCACTCTGAAATCACCCTCCTGGCTTGTAACTCAAGGAGACAATTTTCTGGTGCAATCAGTTGCAGCAGCCCATAATTACTTCAGCTCATACTCTCCCCTGGATTTTGAGGGCCAAACACCAGGGAGGAATTAAGCCATCTTTGGCTTTTTTACCCCAAAGAGTTTGGTGGGTGCCAAGCAAACCTGTCAAGAAGGTTAAAGCTGTAGCTTTGCATCAGTATATAGTACTGATATCAATGGGGCTCAAATATGGAGATAGGAAACAAGGAGAAGGAGCGAGCGGGAGGGAGGCAGGTGTTACCCATAGGATGGGTGTGAAAGGATGACCTTGTCAGCAGTGGAGCACCGTTGAACTAGGCCATACTGAACTGCATGAAAAGCCAAACAGCACAGCAGGGTTAGGGCTGGAGCACATGTGTCCTCCTTGTATGGGTCATCCCTTCCACCAGCTGCGCTCCCAGGCACTTGTGTGAGCAGATGAAGGTGAGAAGGGTTTGCTCAGGGAGGCCCTGAGATGAGGGGAGCAGCATGGTCGTGGATGCTTTGCTGATGGAGAGCTTTGGTTGGAGGCCACCGGCCAGGTTCAGAGGGAGCTTCCCCATTGCTGGGCCAGGAGAGTTTGGTGGTAGCCAGAATCCACTTGCCTTTCCACAGGAGGCAGAGCTGGAGCGCCTGGAGAGGGAGTTTGCCATTCAGTCCCAGATCACAGAGGCTGCCCGGCGCCTGGCAAGTGACCCGAACGTCAGCAAAAAGCTGAAGAAACAGAGGAAGACGTCCTACTTGAACGCACTGAAGAAACTGCAGGAGATTGAAAACGCCATCAATGAGTATCGCATCAAATCTGGAAAGAAGCCAACCCAGAGAGCCTCCCTGATCATAGATGGTAAGCGGGACTCAGCACTCATGGCATTGCTGAAGGGTCTGTGGAGGGCAGGGGACAAAATTCTTGCCTTGAACTCGTGGCTTGAGATTTCCCCTCCCTCCTCTTCCCTCTCTTGTCTGGAGGACTCCGTGGGTGCTGGCGGTCGGGCTGTCCTCTCCCGTACCAGCGTGCTGTCAGATGGGTGTCTGGGCTGCGTGCTGTGCATTAGGGATGTGCTGGTTCACAGCACAAGAAGCAGCGTCACGCTGTAGATTATAAGCATATTGTGACTCCTTTGTTCACCTATAAAATCGCTCTGTTAACGTCTCCTCCGGAGTGGTGCTGCACAAATGTAATTAATGTTAGCAGATTGGGGTGAGCTCTCTAGCTGAAAGGCATCTGTAAAATCAAAGTGGTAGCAGTGTCATTGCTGTGTTCAAATGCTTTTTTTTTTTTTTTTTCAATGTAATTCTCAGGGCACTTTATGGTTTACTGGGTTGTTGATTAGTTTTTCATGAAATCCATTAACTTTCTGCTGTGGTTCTTTCTCCCTTGCTGATTTTGCCCTTTCCCTTAGACTTGAAGAGCTTTTCTCTGTGCCTTTGTAGCAGGAACTGAGATTAGAGCTGCTGTATTTGTGACCTGGGTACCAAGTTGCACCGCAGTCAGGGATAACAGCCAGCCATGAGGACATGGGATGGGGGAAGCAGCTCAAACGTGTGTACGCCATGGACGTGAGAGCTTCTCCTGCTGCTACAGAGGATCCTGAGAAAGCGTTTCCCTAAATTACACAAAACTGGTACCTAGTGTGAACATTTAGTTAGCAACAGGATGGTCATTTTAAGAAGGTAGAGATCAAACCCAGAGTCCTTAAGGCCCGTGATATAAATCTCACTAGTGGCACCATGCCATTTTGCATCCTCTAGGGATCTCAGCTCTCTGTTGTGACTCAGTCTTAATCCTCATTAATTGAAAAGAGTTAGCAGCTCCTTGAAAGGCAGCCTGCTAGTGAGAGACCTGGCCTGCAGCTCTGCCCTCCCGAGACTGAGAGTGGGCTGTCAGTTGTTCATAGGAATCCTGCTTCTTGGCTATGTGAGGAGGAGGATGTGGGTGATTGCTTAAGGCTAAGACTCAGTGGACAAAGATCACAGTGCAGTTCAGCACTCAGTCACTGTGATTATCGGGACCATCTGATCATCTTTGTATTTTCTTCCCTTCAGAAGGAAACATTGCCAGTGAAGACAGCTCCCTCTCGGATGCCCTTGTTCTCGAGGATGGTATGTTGGCTGCTGTATGTTCTAGAGGGCGGGAAGGGAACAGGGAGAGATGTGTGAACTGATTGACACTCAAAATGGAGGAACTGTTCTGTGTAATAATCCACTCAAACATCCTTGTAGCAAAAATGCTTGGTTTCCCCTGACTCCACTTTGTAGTCAGACATCAGGCCTGGAGCAGTGAGTATTGTCGTGGTTACTGCTCGGAATTCTTTCAAAAGACAGTCCCAGAATGCCCCCTCCTTTTGTCTTAAGGTTTCAGTTTAATGCATCACACACTCTTGCTGGCTATTCCCTCCCAAAATGGGAACATCAGCCAGCACACTTCTGAAAGTTGGGTCTTCATGTTGCTCCTGAACGCAACCAGGGAAAGGAGGGTCAGGAAGCAGGCTCTGGAGGTGTGATGGTGTCCCCCGGGGTTGTGCTGCCATTGGAGGTGCCACATGGCCATCATCTCTCTCCCTTCTTGTCTTCACAGAGGATTCTCAGGTCACCAGCACAATATCCCCCCTCCAGTCCCCACATAAAGGACTCCCTCCCCGGCCACCCTTGCACAACAGGCCTCCTCCTCCACAGTCGCTGGAAGGCCTCCGCCAAATGCATTACCACCGCAACGACTATGACAAGTCCCCCATCAAACCCAAGATGTGGAGCGAGTCATCCTTGGATGAACCCTATGAGAAGGTCAAGAAACGCTCCTCACACAGTCATTCCAGGTGAGCCAGCTATCTTGAAGCCCCATCACATAGACATCCTCTGCTTTCAGGAAGGATGGGTGTGAGCCCTTGCAAAATTTACAAAGCCATCCCTTACCAAAAGGAGACTCTTAGGTGTTTTGGCTAATAGGCATGTCATAAAAAGTAGGCTGCACTTGCGTGGCTGGTGCTTGGTATCTCAATGATACTTTAAAAGACACTGAGAAAGGAAGGATGGTGGTGAATCATCTGAAGGCTTTGATGGGGCTTCACCTTGACCTCTGGCTGCTGCAGAAGCACAAGCTCTGGGATGCAACTCAGAGCAGCAGCTGACCCAGCTCCCCCTCACCCCCACGAGATCACAGGCACGTACCTGAGATCTGGAAAGAGGCGTGGGAGCCCCTTCCCCAAATTCCTGCCCAGGAACTGAAGCAGGGTGTTTGCTCTACAGCAGTCACAAGCGGTTCCCCAGCACCGGGAGCTGTGCCGAGGCAGGAGGGAGCAGCTCGCTGCAGAACAGCCCCATCCGGAGCCTTCCCCACTGGAACTCGCAGTCCAGCATGCCATCAACACCAGATCTACGGGTACGCAGTCCACACTATGTCCACTCCACACGGTAAGTCGTCCTGGCTCCACAACAGTCTTACCTTGCTTACCCTGAAATAAATATTCTTTGCTTTATCCTTCCCCCAGGATATGAATTAATTCCCAGTTCAGGAAAGGACACAAACCAGTCCTATTCACATCAGAGGCTCAAGTACTGTTGCCAGTAAGGAATCTATCCTGAACTGAGATCCTGAAATCACTTCAGATAAACGTGATCCTGCCCCTCATCTCCCCCTCAAAGTAATCAAGCTTTTCTTCCGCTGGGACCTTTCATCTCAGGGACTGTTTATAGGAGCTACAAACCCCATGCCACTTTAAAAGAAGGGATGTGGTGCTACTGCTAAATTCTGCAGTAAATTCCTCCACGGATCCAGCTGGAGATAACATACTGTTTCCTGTCTGACACAAAATATTGGGTAGTGTTAATTCTCTCGCCTAGATAAAATGTTTGCACATGTATGATCTTATGTGGAGAGAAAGCCTGTGTAAAGCAATCCACCTGAGGATCCAAGTGGTAGCAGAATAAGCCCAGTGTTGACAGAGGAAAGATCTGAAGTGTGTAAGGGAGGTGATTTGATATGCGTGTCCCGATTTCAGTACAATTTTCAGCAGG